GTATTCTTTTCGCTTAGTTTGTTTGGGCATTCATCAAGGTCAATAAATTAAGCATTACTTTCTCCTTTCTGTACCTCTTTTTCCAGGGAAAAGAGAAAGAATGATAACACCGCCACCTCCAGAAGCATTTGAATTTCTGACAGTGGCTCCCTCTCTCCCGCCGCCACCCCCGCGACTTCAATCGCTCTGGCCTCAGCATGCATTCATCAGCTGCCGAATTAGAATTTGTTTCCTCACAAACCATTGATCATCGGCCTATTACCAGGCAAATGACAGTTAATTACCCACTACATTAACCACCGGGACCCGGGGACCGTCCGCCTGTGCCATCAGTCACAGTGATGAATGTGGCAAGTTCAGTAATGCGCGGCCGTTCTCGCGTCCGCCTGCCACACTGAGAGCAACCCCTGGATCTCACTTCTCAGCACCCAGGGATAATCTATGGCAATCTGCATAATTACAGGCTCAGGGTTAATAACAGACAAATGATTTGTTGTGTCTCGAGCAGCAAGCTCTCTCACTGCTACCGTGTGGCGCTGTGTCTGCGGTTAGCATCGGCGCTTACTTTAACGTCAATGTTTGGGGTGCTGTGAGTTGGGGTTGGAGAGCCTAAAAAAGTCAGGTTAATTTTTAAATATTGATGCTTGTGTTACTGATGTTGTATAGGCAGGATCGATCCTCGCATAAAAATATTGACTGTAAGTGTTTGGGATCTTGAGTCAAAAAACTTGCTAGTGATTTTGTTATTTATTAGCATAAACATGTACAGTATGTGTATCATGAACATCTAAGCAAAAAAAAAAAACCTTGCCCAGCAGCAAAAAGAAGCATCATCTGAAGTTATTTTGCTTTACCAATGTGACTTTTATTTATAGGCTAATTGTTCATGTATGATATAACTTAGGGCTGCACAATTAATCGAATTTCTAATCGAGATTACAATTACGGATGTCACAATTATGTAATCGTTCAAAGCGGCAATTAATCGTTCAAAGCATAGGCGTAGTTTCACTTTTATGCGTGGGGGGGCACCCACTGGCAGATGAGCCACAAGCATTTTTTTTTGTATGTTCTACATTTCATGTATTTATATAACACATTCTACATTAAAAATACATTTAGAATGAACAATATCTGCTGTACAAAGAAAAAGAAACAATGCAGAAAAGCCGCCTATTTTTCCGAATTGCATAGATGACCACTAATATAATAATAATAATAATAATATATATGGCGCGCCGCGTCGCGCCACGCCCGGCAGTGTTCAGCGCGCATGTTTCACTCTCCTCGTCACTGAGCGGTTTGACGCTCCGCTCAGTATTCCGATTTCTATGTGTTCTAGATCAGAGCCAGTTTCTTATTCTCCTCATAACTGAGAAACTTATTTCTGATGTAGCCGAACTAGAGCCCCGACTTTTTTACGCCCCTCGGGACGGGCTTCGGGCCAATTGTCACGTCATAGTTCAGACGCGGCGGGCCAGTCCTCGGGCCTGTTTTAGGCTTCTCCTTATTTTTATATTTTAGACATCCATCAATTAGTGATGAAAAAAATTGCTACGCTGGTGGAAACAACACGAGACCGTGCTACCGCGACTGTCAAGTGCAGCTCGACGGTGTTTATTGTCCCGCCAGCAGCAGCAGCAGCATGCGTTTTGGTTCCGCTCGTGTACCGCTCATGCTCATCGGAAAAGCAAAGTCCACTCAAATAACGCGCTGACAGGAAATTTCTATGCAGTATCGGCCTACTTTTTCCGGTTTGCAGTAGCGCTACTGAGCTGTAACATGGTGTAGGCTAGTTCAGCTGTACTGGATAACGCTGCTAAAATAATGCTACCTTCAGTGACGCTATGCTCTGATAATAATAGCTTTGTAGGACTATACATAATTTATTTGGATAATTAGTAAAAAAAAAAAAACAACAACTTATATCTGATTTTGTTACATAGAAGTGAATAAAAATAAAATATTGATATTTAATATTAAGGTAACACTTTTCAATAAAAACTATTGTTCATTCTTAGTTCATTAACTAAAGTAGTTAACTAATGAACCTTATTGTAAAGTGTTACCAATATTAATATAAATTCTGTCCAGTTTTATTGTGTTACTTTCAGTAAAAGTGTGGTTATTTTATTGGCTTGTGTTTTTTTTTTTATTCAAAAAAATGTCCATTTTGATTTCTTGGGGTTTTGAAATGATTTATCATGCTCTATAATTATTGTTAATCAAGGTAAAATAAAAAAAAGAGTCTGATAATTTGAAGTTTTGGCCTAAATTATTTTTAAAGCTAAATAGTTGCAATTACCCATTTTATCCTCAGAAATCACAAAACATTCCACTTAAAAAAGGTATCAGTTTTGATAGTATTTGGATTGAAAAGAAGTCACCCAACTCTATACAAAAAGCAGGAGAGACCAGTTGGAAAGGGGTTGGCAGATGCAATCAAACGTGTACTTTCTTCAATCTAGCGCCTACACATGTGATTTTCGAAGATTAAACAACTCTTGGGGCAAAATTATTTCAATTACAGCGGGCGTGACCTGGGAATTGTCTGTGGGATAAGATTTTCCTCCTTGAGTGCCCTGACTTTGCCTGGCTGCTGGCTCAATCAGTTCTAATCTGCACCTGGACTCTGATATCCTAATGATGAATTATGGGCCTCTCAGCTTTCCACTGCAGGGCAGATAGAACAGCTCTCCGCTGACCTGTCAGCTCGCTTAGGCTGAAGCAGAGACCCGCGATAATTACCCAGAAAAGACCATGTGCGTGTTTAAAACTCATGAGCATCACATGAACATCATTCACTCATTAGGCCCTTCACTCTGTCTCTTCCTCTCTCTCACCTCGGTAAAAGTGCAGCGGAGACGGTTTTTACAACCCAGGCGTGAGATCGAGAACAGAAATTCTTCCTGAAAGTAAAGGGTAATTGTTTACTGACATCGAAAGTTACTGCCTCTATCTGCCTCAACAGGGTAATTACTGTAAACAGCTCTCTAAGAAGACAACAACTTGAGGAGTTGACTCGAGAAACCGCTATTATGAGATAATAACATAGAGACTTGTATCAGGAGATAAAACGCAGACTTTAATAGACTCCCGAAAAACAATGGCAGACAAACATTTTCACGCATCTGTGTATTCAATAAACAGCCGAGATGAAAGGTGCGAAGCCTCTTTCAAGTGAAAATCACAGCGAAACACAAAATAATTATGCCCTCACCATAAAAAAACCATCCAAAAGCTTTGGAGGGCTTTTCAGCAAGAAATTCTGGCAGGGGTGAGCGGGGATTCGGAGGGGTATTTTGAAGAGGGGTGTAATGAAAGTTTTCAACCCCTGCAGGGCCCAGATGTGCACTTTGATAGGCACTTCTCGGTGCCAACCCACCTGCAGTTGCAAGCTGGGCACTGGGGTGTGCCATGCAAGCCCTGCAATTATCTGCACCAAACATGCGCAGTCCCACGAGTCATTGCTCTTCATAGCTAATTAAGCTAATCTCAACTGGAGGGGACCATCCAAAAACATAATGTGTCCAGGCGAATGATCTCAAAACCGTTTAGCCCGAATGGAAATGCCGGCGTTGTGAGCTTTACATTCTTGTATGCAAAAAAAATGGTGGCTGATCTAGAGGTTGCATTCATACAGTCAGTATTTAGGATCGACAACCATGTTTACAAACAGGTATGACTTTCGAATTGTCTTGTTCATCAAAATAGCAATCAGAATCAAATCGAATACTGTATTTCTGTACGAATAACTGAATTCAAGCACTTTTAGGGTGTATTCACACCAGGAAAGTCCGATAGTTCATTTGCCTTGGTCCGGAGCAAATACAATGTTGATTTTTTTTTGTTTGGTGCGGTTCGCTTTCACACTGCCCTTTTTGCAAGTGAACCAGAAACTGTAAACAAAACCACACATGTGCTTAAGGTCATCCATTCATTGGTTCATCCATTCAAACGTACCAGAGTTCGTTTGGAAGCGGACTGAGACCACCTCTTCAGCTGGTCCGCACCAGAGTGCGATTGCTGTATTCACACCTCCCCAAAAGATCCGCACCAAAGGGGGAAACGAACTTGAGTTCGATTCAATCGAACCAAACAAGACAGGTGTGAATACACCCTTATATTCCTACAATAGCCAACTAATTGTCAAAGATGCCAACTTCCATAACAGTTGACTGCAAATTTGCAATTGAAAAAATTATTTAATAAACGAGCCCAATAGCAGTCAGGAGTGAATCCAATACTGTCTATTTGAAAAAATAACTGAAGTCAAGTAGCTTTTCTATTGCTGAAATAGCCTACTAATTGACGTAGATGCCTACTTCCATAAAACTGACAATTGGAAATTTGCAACTGATAAATTATGATAAATTAATGAGTCTAATAAAATCTTTAATAATAATAAAAAATAATAAATTATCTTTTTAAATAATTGCTTTCTTACAATTAGTTTTCTCTTATTATTAATGTTGAGCACTCCGCATAGCTCATGCTAACCAATCTAATCTGATTCTCCTGACAATTTCAGGCAGTCACTTTTGTTAATAACCAAACTATGTGTGAACTCATGTATTTAGCACTTTAAACCAGGGCTGACAACCTTATTCTGCTGCTTTGTTAAAAGAGAAAAGGGTTGCTGAAAGAACGTCCTACGGTTGTTTATGGCATCACAAATAAACGTGTTGAGCTGTCGCGTTAGGGCACTGTGTAGGTGTCGGCACATTGAATGGATCATTCTAAAGGTCTAACTTCATAGAAAATGCTGGAAAGATGCATTGCAGCATATGTGGCCTTTGGAGAATGATAGTTATGGCTACATGAAATGCTTTGAAGTATACATCACCTAGGAGCGAATGTCATTTTAGAGAGGGAGCAAAACAACTTTTCGATACTCTAAATCATAATCTACTTAAAAAAAAGAGATGCCCTTCGCTCTTAAGAAGCTGAAAGAGCTGTCAATAATGAGTGTTTGCTGTATGTTCTTCATTTTTTTGCAGAACTCATATTCTGCCAAGGATTGAAAAGAGGGAGAAAACAATACCGTCCTACCCCTGACCCCTTAGCTGAATCCCTGACCTTCCCATCAGGACAATTTAGCACGGAAGAAAAATAGAGGATTAAGTATTTGCACCTCTACTTCAAATTCAATCGATGGTGATTACAAGTGCCCATTTTGACCTCTCCACGATTTCAGATTACATGTGAAAAGCCCAATTTAATTACAGGAAGTCAAGAACACACACATCTGCAAGAATGGAGCATTATTGGCCACATAATTGCCAGACATGTGAAGTGAATTGTATTGAGGAGAGGTTAATGGTGGCAAAGCTTTTTTCCAAGCACAACATAGCAATTACAGGACGCCTTCAGAGCTTTTAACATCTCCACACCATCTCATTTAACACAAAATAGAGGCGAGAGGGGACGTTGGATTTCTTTGTTCTGTAGCTTTATCTGTTAATTTATTTCCTGAGGACGCAAGACTTAAACCATCTGTTCCTCAGATGAGAATTCGACTCGTTCATAATATGGAGGCCTCCTGCTTTGAGCCGCTGTTTGAATTGTCACAAGATACGAGAAACTGTGAGAAAGGGAGAATGAGATGAAAGGAAAAACATCTTGGGCCTTATTGAAGGATCACAACCACTTGTTTGCAGCTAGAAACTGGACACTGTCAGACACTGTTTGTATTTAAAGCCAAAGAATATAATGAGATTTAATTTGACATTACATAAACATTATTCATGCGTATTACATGCATGTACAGTACATTTGTGATTTATTAATTTGCTTTGGATCAAAGCAAATATATGTATTAGCTAAAATCAATCATGGCAAACTGACAGTAAACAGCTTTGTTTTTATCCAGTAATGATTCCTAAATCTTTAGTTATTATTTAAAACATGGGTAGAGTTTCTATCACTTGTATGCAGAGCTTTGCTGTGTTTGAGAATATTCAGTCCCAAAAAAAAAAACTGCTATTATTTATCAGTGCAGATTTTCAGAAAAAGGATTTCAGGTTATTTGATGATGATTGTGTCTGAAATATTTTATAGATTAAGATATTTTATAGTTTAAAAATATATATATTTAATTGCAGTTTATTTTTGTTTTTAATTCTGAATTATTTTACAAACTGTTTTCGTGTATTTTTCCTGCATGCACTGCAAGCCTGTCAGTACAATTGAAGCGACAAATGCTTCAATAAAAGGTTCTTAAGTTGTTTTGAACTGTACAAGCTTTACTGAGTTTGAATAGATTTTTTGTTGTTGATGATGGATGGACATGCTATTACTATACTGAATGTGCATCCATTTAGTTTTTATACCTCATTCAGTTTTATATGCACGTTTTTTTTTTAATTCAGCTGACTTGTCAGAGAAATTTAATTAAATTACAATTATATATGTAACAAAGCAAAGATGAAGTTTTTTAATAAATGATGGCTAAAACAATGTCATTTTTAACTATGTAGAATTTTGAAGGAGAAGGAGAAAACCAATAGCGCCATATTGTTGCATCACTAGATTTGCAGATCCCATCTGTGGAAAGGTCTTCAAAACCAACCTGATTAATTTTCCTTTCCTTTCTTTTACTGAAAATGATAACTAAGAAATATTTAATGTAGGATTTTAATTAGATAGAATCCTGAATGCTGCCCCACATTGAACTTGAGGGGTGTTTTTTGTGGACCCAATGATTGAAATGTTTAATCACTGATAAAATAGATTGGATGTATTTTTTCTCCCAGGAATTCCCAGTGGCAGTTAAAATGAAAACCACCTTGATACACACAGTAAAGTAATTAGTAGAATGAAGATAAAGCCAAATGAACTCTTGATCAATACATTAACCGGCACCCCGCTCTCTCCACCCACATCCCTCTTTTCAAAATCAAATTAATTATACGCACTCTTCTCAGTATCAAAACCCTCTGTCGCTTTGTGCCGGGGACATATGGGTATCAGAGTAATGCGTTACGGACAGCAGCACCTACACTTCCTGCAGTGTGATGCTTCTTTTTTATGCAGATTGGTGGTAGAGAGAAGCGAATCAGTGCAAATGATCTTGCTATCCAAGCCTGACAATGGAGAAGTCTCTAATGAACAGGCCAAGAGCAGACTGCAAATTTTTTTTTAAATGAGAGCTTACAAAGGCCATGGGTCTGATCAAATCCAAATATCTGGAACGGATAGTGTGGAGGGATGCCACAGTAACTTTGATTGCAGGGAAGATGCTTAGCAATTTTACGACAGCCTGCTTTGCCCATCATGTCGCTTTTTTTCTTCTTTTTTGTCCGTGTTAACATATAATCTCACTGTAGAGTATAATGTCAGTTCTTATGACTCTGCTTATTCTGAATTGGTCAATGCTATACAACAACCAAAAAAAAAAAGAAAAACACGCAAGACTGCAGTTCTGTTCTCTCTCTGTCTTGGCGTTTAAATAGCTAGTCAGTGATAGCATTTAACATGCAATGTGCACAGCATTTAGAGTGCTAGTCACAGGACAACAGCTCAACACTCTCTCAGGCAGAGCTGCCATAAAGGAACAAACCAGTGTGCACGATTGATCTGGACACACGTGGCTAATGCAGAGGAGCTAGGCTGAGACATGGACTTTGGCGCACACTAATGCAGACTTCCTTTGATTGCCTCTTTAGCATTTAGAGATTAAAAGTACGTGGAAAATGGTGTGATTCAGTGGCAGCAGCACCCTTTTATCTCTCCCTCTCTTTTTACGCGTTTAGTACCCATGTCAGATATACATGTATTGAAGAGGTTGGTTGCGATTTTAGTAATGCATTGATTATATTAGTGTTATAAGGGAGGAATGAAGGAAAAGAAAAAAAGTAGAAAGAAAAGAAAAAGGAAGGAAGAGGGAAAATGATAAACATATGAGAAAACAAAACTGAAAGATCTAAACATCTTTGTAAGAACATTCAAATAAGATTGACGGCTTCTCTAGAGCAGTAAATGCTGAAATAGAGTTACGTATCCACCAGACTTACATGAGGGCTATATCAGATGATTTAATAAAGTTGTTAATTCTTTTGGTGAGATGGACTTGTTTGTGGATGTGTCCAGTTCAAGGGCAAACCTGAGCGCCTCATTTGCATTCTTCTCTTTCTTTTGGCTCTCTTATGAATAAATCAGGGCGTTAAAACGGCTGCATTTACATCTCATTTTACACAAGCACAGTTGAGCAAACTGGGCCTGACTGGTTTCACCCACACCATTAACACAGAGGAAAAAATGCTTGATATACAAATTATATATAAAGGGGAACGCTGCATCTTGATTATAGTCAGAATAATGAAATAATTTTGATAAGAAAAAACATTTAATGTCTTGCAAGCAGTGCTCTTCAGGTATTTACCAATACCGAAAAAAAATATGTGCATGCTGCACTTTTCAGTCAGGCTACGCTTTGGTCTGCTGCTTTCGATAGAAGCATGTGTATTGATGTAATATCCACAGCAAAATAAGCCTGACCATGTGATGATCATATGAGATATTTTGGCAGATGCTGTGTGCCTGGAGCTGAGGGGCTGAGGTGAGGAGCATCCAGTGGCGTCTCACAGTTCCGCTAGGCAGCACACTAATTGAGAAGTCGCTCAGGGGTTGAGCGTAGGGGGCTCGCAGCACTGCGCTCTCTATCCAAATCAAGCCCCTGTAAGTGGGGCTGACATGGACCAATCACCATCTGGAGGTTCCTCCACTAAACACCCACCATTCCTGACTACCATGAAAGGATCTGCTGCTATCCTCCCCCTTCTTTATCTCCATAAACGCTCATTACTGAGGTTGTGCAACTGAGGGTCTGAGGCCAAGCATGTCCTCGCGAACTGCAGTGTAACTGTCGGCAAGTGGAGTTGACTGCTTTGTGGAGGTCCGTAGAGCTGCCAGTCATACGTAGGCGAAGACGGCAAGGTATTCCAGAGTGGGAGAGGGTAACACATACACAATATTGCAGAGCCGTAAAGCAAGCATTTCAGGGAAGATCCAAGGTTTGAGTTGGTGCTGTGGTGCTTTGTTCTGTTTGGTTGTTAAACTTGCATGTGCGAGAGATAGTGGTTGATGTTCAAGTTGGGTACTGAGAGGCATTGTGGTCTCTTGAAAACTGCAAACTTATCACTGTAAAAAGGACTGATGCCTTCAGTCTAAAGGTGTAAGCATAGTGGACAGGTCTGGAGAGAGGTAACTTCCTGGGACCAAGGACCCACAAATCTGTACTAAATAATTGGATGTTCAGAAAGTGTGAAGGCGAGGAGTGAGAATGCCTTAAACATTAAGTCTGAGATCTTGCGTTTAAGCCTTCGATGTGTTTCTCAGTCAAACAGCTGGGATTTAAAAAAGAGCTTGCGGATTTACAGAGAAAACAGTAACCTGGAGGTGTAGGTTTTATGAGATCGCGATGCAGACCAAATCGGGTTTACACCTAACGGCAAAGTACCAGCCAAAATAACTTTGTGCGTGCATCTGATCCTACAACAACATGGCTGTCTTTGTTACTCTGCACAATTCCCTATGAATAGTTTAAAAGCTACCAGGCCATGCAAGGCGATGCTTCAGAGAAGTAGGGTTTATTTTTTCGGCCTCCCTCTCAGGGCAGGGAATCTGTTCCTCTCTTGTTTGCTGGATTGTGTCTGTTGCTTTATCACAGGTAAAAGAGGAGTTGGTTTTGGAGGGATTGCACTAGGAGGTTGGAAAATGGCTGTGTTGTGAGCCAAGATGGCGGATGGCTTCCAAACACACAACCCAGAAACAAAAGCCGATCAGTGTCTGCCAAAGCTCTGGGGGAGGCAGAGGGGCTTGCATATCTTAGTGTGTCAAGCGACAAGGCTGGTTATCACACTCTCGCATGCCGGCAGAGAAGAGATGCCAGCCAAGGATGCAGTGGCACCACCTCCCCAGCCACAGCTGTGCCAGACAATGCTTCTTCTTGTAAAAGAACACTGAACTGAACAAATTAAAATTGAATATTGTAAAGAAAAACACGCTTGACAGTTACACGCCATAAAAGCACACATCTCTTGCTTGCTAACGCTCAGTCAGGCCTCCCTAAAATGATATACTTGATCTTCAAGATTTCCCCCCAACAGCAGATATAATACGTGGCCGATATTCTCCAGCCGCACCTCCGC